ATAAAAAAAAATAATAATAGTGGAAGGAAGATGAATAAAAATATAAAACTAAAAATTAAAAAAAAAAATAAAAAAAAAATTAAAAAAAATCAGGGTGGTAAAAAATATTAAAGATCAGGAATAAACTATTACAAACAAATAATTAAAATTTATAAATGCAATAATATCAAAATACCAAATATCATTTAATTTATAACTTATTAAAAAATATATTATAACTAAATATTAAGAAAATAGTACAATAACCATATCTAGCAATGCCAATGACAAATTTGCCACATATTGACATAATCTAGTTTTTTTTTATTATTTTCATTTCAGTTGTTTTTTATAATTTCTGCAATCTTTTATAAACAGTATATTTTTATTTTTTCATTTTTTTGATTCGTTTAATTTTTGTTTTATTTTTTATTCTTTGTATTTTAATTTCATTTTTTTAAATTCGTTTATGGCTTTATATTATATTTTTTTAAGTTTCGTTTTTTTAGGTCTTTTTTTTTAATTTCTTTCAGCTTCGTTTTTAAATTACATTTTTTTTTAAAATTTTGACTTCAGCTTCATTTTTTATTTTTTTTTTATTTTAGCTTATTTGCTTTATCAATTTCTTTTATTTTTTTTAATTTCCCACCTGGTCTTTTTAATTATTTTTTTTTCATGTTATTTTTTTTTTCTGTAAAGATTGTTCTTTAGTTTATTCAAAATTTTGATTAAATATTGAATTTTCAAAAAGTCTAAAATAAATATTATCATTTTTTCTATAAAATTATGTGATTATTATTTTGTTAAATTAATATGTTATATTTACTTTCGTTTATTATTTTTTTATTTTTTTTTTTTAAACTTTATTTTTTTTATTTTAGCTTTTCATTTTTTTGTTTTGTTTTCTTTAGTTTTTTTTCTTTCTAGTTTTAGATTTCTTTTACCTTTTTTTTCTTTTTTTCCTATTTTGTTTTATTTCTTTTTCATTTTTTTTTCTTTTATTTAGTTTAATTTTTCGTTCTCATTTCGTTTCTTAAAAAAATAAAATAAATAAAATAAATAAAAAAGAATAAAAAAGAAATAAAATAAAAAAAATAAAAATAAAATAAAGATTTCAGCGATATACTTGTTTTTATATCACGTCGCAATTTTTGTTTATTTTTTTTCCATTTTTGGCGATCAGCAGTTGCATGATCAGGTAGTGTGACTTTATTTTATAGTGACTTACTAACGTAATATATATATAAGACTAGTAATTCTACCTAAGTGATGCTCTGGGATTACTTCGTAACAAAAAAAAGTAAAGTTTTAAAAATCATTTAGGTTTAGTTTAGTTGGATTAGAATTGAAATTGAAGTTGATTTGAATTAAAATCAGATTAGAATACAGAGATATGATTAGATTAGATTGGTCTGAATTGTAATTAAATTGGTATTTATTAAGGTTAAAATTGAGTTAGAATGAATTGGATTTTGTTAAAATAAAATTTAGATTATAATCTAATTATAATTTAATTAAAATAGAGAATTTTATATTTTAAGATTATATAGGTAACTTCATATTATTACATAATAATAAACAATTTTTTAAACTCTTATAGGTAATCAAACCTTGGCATCACCAGAAAATTAATTCAAAATTTGCTCATAATTACTTTCTCTAAAATTGACTTTAGATCAGCTCAAGATCTTATTAACTTTCAATGCTATTTCAGCTTCCAGTGATCAAATTGTGATAAATTTAGCTTGATTTAAAGGTCTCTTAGGGCTGTATCTGGTTGTCTTAAATTGGCATTTTTATGACCTTTAAATTACATAATTGCTTTATTTTAAGGATTTCAAGAATTTATAGTCTAAATAATTGATTTTGAATACTCATTGTTAATCCTATTTTCCTACATATTAATATACAATTTTCTCACCTCCTTTAGATTCCCAGATGATAAAATTAGTATTCAGCATCATTACATTTTAGACAGTTTCTTTTGCTTCAGTTCAGGAAGTTATACTTGCTTGAGATTCTTCCGTGATGAAACTCAAAATAATTGCTTTCTGTATTTCTCAAATATTTCTGGATAGAGTGATTGGATCAGGACGGTTTTGGTCTTATTTGAAAGATAAAATCCTACTAAATTTGTATATCAACTATATTAGGTCAGATGTAGTGACTTCAACGCTGCTAGGTATAGTTATTACACTGCTTTTTAATAATTAGTTTTGACATATCCTATATTAAATTATAAATAAAATAACATTTGGTGTTATTGCATTTATAAAAATATTTAATTATTTATTTGTAATAGTCTAAATAAAGGTAATAGTTAAGATACTTTTGCTTCTAATCTCTCATATTCCTTGATCATGGATTTGTCAACAGTGAATGCCTCTTTACTTAAAGATTTAATTTTAACATTATTCCAATTGCTACATCTACTTATTGCTGTATAAGTCTGCCTCTTTTCAAATATTTGAGAATCTAAACTTAGTGATATATCAAATAATGTTAAACCTTGTACTTTGTGAACTGTAAGAAGGAAAGTATTAATTAATGGAAATTGTATTCTTCTTACAAGTGCTCCATTAATAATAAATGTAGATGTGCCATTTTTTTACTGTTATATCTACTATTGCATTTTAAATACAGAATGCATATCTGAATTCTTGTGTTTTAATATTCACATCTATTATTATTCCTATTGTGTCATTACATATCTTGTATTTGTATTGAGAATTATTTAAAAACATAACTTGGTACTGACTTATAAATGTATAGATGATGGTAGATTAGTTTTTTGTTTTATCAATACAGGAAAGTGATTATTGTTTTGTATTTATCCATTTATTATGTCAATAGCATTTGAAACTAAATATTTCCATCTTGAGTTGATAGCATCATACATATCATTTGATTAATTAGTTTAGCTATTTTTTATATCTGATAATATGTGTTGTCTTTAATAGATTTTTAAGATTGTTATTTCTGTTTGATGAATTTATTGCTTAATTAAACTTGGATTGTAACATATTCTAAGTAAAGGAATTCAAGTTACCTAATCTAATACTTTGAAGTAATTTATAATAATTTGGATCCTGATTTTATCTTTGTAGTTCATATAAAAATAATGGATAAAAAACTTTCTATACAGGTAATTTATACACTGAAATATTTTCAACTGGTGAAAGTTATGCTAGATCACCAACTATGATTACATTAATACCTCTAAATGGTTAAGTGTTATAATATATGTAAGAGAACATTTGAGATATATAAGTAAATAAGATTGATGAAACTATTGATATTTCATAAATTATTATAATTTTAATATTTTTAAGTTTTTGGTAAAATTGTGAGTCTGAAAATGCTAAAGTCTAATATGAAGATGTATATGAATGTATTTTTAATGATAAGTGAATATTATGACCTCTTATATCTTGAGCTACTCTCCTGTTAGAGCCATCAATAAATACTTTTGATTATTATTGTTTAATTCATTAATTATAAGATTAATTATAAAAGATTTTTCATTTTCAATAGGACTAGTTATAAAGAAATAAGGGTAATGCTGACTATCTCTTAGGCTTAAATAATTTGTGTACAATAATATTGGCTGGTAGAAAGTTCAGTTATAGGAATAGTGTAAAAGGTATTGATAGTATTTTAATAGAATTGATTTGTATATGAATTATTCTTTGAATATCTTCAGTTAAAATTTGCTGTAATGAGAAGAAAATTTGTTCAATTAATGAATTAAACTGATTTATCATATGCATTATTTATAAGTGTTGTATTTTATGATTTTGTTCAGTAATTTGAGTAAATTTATCAGGAAATTTTATAATAAAATGATCTCTATAGGTATTATAATTTCCTATTAATTCATTTTCTGAATGACATAATATAGTAAAAAAAGTTGTTGATAGAAGTATAATTCACTATGTTCTATTATTAAATGATGAATTCATATTAATATCAGTATACAGTTAACTCTTATTATAATGAACTCTATATCTTAGACCTCAACTTCGCTATAGGGCTATAGTGGAGATTTTAAGAAATTTGATTGGCCAATTCGCTATAACAAAAGTATTTTTATTATATTTGTTCAAAAAATTCATTATATTAAGAGTTCACTATATTAAGAGTTAACTGTAGTTTTTTTGATAACATAATTATTCATGTTATCTATATAAACATTATTTCTTTTTGATAATGTATTAGATAATGAACTATAAATTTTATATTTTTCATAATATTCTTTATAGGTTATATTATCGAATATTTCATTGTTAGGTTTAGCAGGATATTTTTCAATATGATCTGTCTAATATAGATCTTCATCATCAGGATTTATTAATGATAGTGGCATAATTGCTTTAGAGCATGTTAAATGAGGATCTGTAGTAAGTATAATACTTGTATTAAAGAGTTACAAATTTTTTCTTCAAGTAATAAGAACATTAATTCCATATTACCTAATCTTCTTATATAAATATACTCATGATAAAGATCACCATCTTGAATATTAAATAAATGTGATAGTTCAGCTTTTGAAATATATTTATTAATATATTTTGCTAAGTCTTTATCAGTCACATATTGAGCATTCATATGGGCTTTTCAAATGAATAATGTAGGAGCATGATAAGGTATTAAAGCTTTAAATGATTTGGATTAATCTAAAAATTTTCATCTTCAGTTCAGTTTCAGATTTTTTTCAGATTATAAATCTAATCTGAATTGAAAAAAATTTGAACTGAACCAAAAATTTCAGATTAATCCAAAATTTCAGATTATTTAAAACAATTCTTTTATTATAAAATAATTGTAAAACTCTTAAGAGAATCGCAAAATACTTGCAAAACTCTAAGAGAATCACAATACTCTAAGAAAATCACAAATTACTTGTAAAACTCTAAAGGAATCACAAATTACTTACAAAACTTCAAGGGAATCATGAAATAATTGTAAATCGCAAATTACTTGTAAAACTCTAAGAGGAATCACAAAGTAATTGCGAAACTCTTAAGAGAATCACAAATTACTTGTGAAACTCCAAGGAGAATTGCAAAATAATTGCGAAACTCTAAGAAAATCACAAATTACTTGTAAAATTCTAATGAAATTGCAGAATAATTGCAAAATTTCAAGAGAATCGCAAAGTAATTGTGAAACTCTAAGAAGATTCATAAAGTAATTGTGAAACTCTAAGAGAATTGCAAATTACTTACAAAACTCTAAGGAGAATCGCAAAATATTTGCGAAACTCTAAGAAAATCACAAATTACTTGCGAAACTCTAAAAAAAATTGCAAAGTAATTGCGAAACTCTAAAAGAGTCGCAAATTACTTGTGAAACTCTAAGGAGAATCGCAAAGTAATTGTGAAACTCTTATGAGAATTACAAATTACTTGCGAAACTCTAAAGAGAATCACAAAGTAATTGCAAAACTTTAAGGGAATCACAAGTAATTGCAAAACATTTAAGATAATCACAAATTACTTATAAAACTTTAAGGAGAATCACAAAGTAATTGCAAAACTCTAAGAGAATCGCAAATTACTTGCAAAACTCCAAGGAAATCGCAAAGTAATTGTGAAACTCTAAGAGAATCACAAATTACTTGTAAAACTTCAAGAGAATCACAAAGTAATTGCAAAACTCTAAAAGAATCGCAAATTATTTGCAAAACTCCAAGGGAATCACAGAATAATTGCGAAATTCTTTAGAGAATCGCACATTAGGTTCCTTTTATGATTCAAATATATCGAACTTGAACTTTCAGATTAATCCAAAATTTTCAGTTTAGTTCAGATTTTTGCCAATTTACAATTCAGTTCAGTTTCAGATTAGCATTTTAAAGATTTATAATCTGAACCAAACTGAACTAAAATTTTGGTTCAGTTTCAAATTGGCCTATAATCCAGACTGAACTGAACCATTCAGTGTATTATAAGGTATAACCTATCTATCAAATTAATTAATATTTGATATATACAGAGGGCCGCCAAAAGTCTCTGAACACTTTTTGGCTCATTAAAAAACTTAAAATTTTATAATATGAATAAAAAA